TCTATTTTTCTAGGTCATACAAAACAGCTCTATGTTTTAAACAGAAAGTAGCAAAAAACAAATAAGCGCATACTTGGTATGAGAGGTGGGAAGATGATGACTTCTGAGAACGGAGACCCTGGTGGGGAGGGCTTTTGGGTGATCTGGCTTCACACTGTTACTGCACAGAGTGCCTTTCAACAATTCACTAGATCACAGATTTCTTAAGAAGGAAGCACAGAACCCCAGGCCCCACCATTTCTCATCCTGGGCTCAGTTGGAAGCAATGCTGTAGACCATGTGACCTCCACAAGGAGAACACCAAACTCGCCCAAAGCTGCTGTCCCCTGACAACAGTGTCACAAGGTACTGGAAACAGGTGGACAGCACGGTCAGTCACAGTCTGGTGCCCGCTAGAGCGCCTTCCACAAAGGTGGCCACTTCCCCACTCAAGACCCAGTCCCTGGCCACCTTGCCTGTGAGTCCTCTCCTAATCAAACCAATCAAAGCCTCTCTGCCTCCACCTCTGTCCTGGCCTAGTTGCACTTCGACATAACACCTTGTTTTATCTCCTTTACAGCACATACCACTGCGGGAAACTATATTCCATGTTGATTTAGTGTTTACTCTTCTCTGCTAAAATGTGACGCTTCTTGGGAACAGCCCAGCTCTAGCCAAAGAAGCAGTGTCATTCAGTCTGACCAATATTTATCGTTGTGTCACAAGCTGGGGATAAAATGTCAAGGAGAGCAGACGTGATCCTTGTCCTCATGTGGTTTATGGTGCAGAGGGGAAGACGTATATTATGGTGCTGTGGAGAAAAGACGTAACACGACACATGTAAAATTATAACTGTGGTGAGTGCCGAGAAGGAGAGAAACACAGGCTATCAGCGCCTATGATGGAACATCTAATTTAGTTAAGTAGATCGGAGGTTTCTCTGGGGAAGAGGCTTTTGAGCTAAGATTTAAGATGCATAGACATGAATTAAGGGAATAGAGTGGGGGCTGGGGATGCCTCTTGGCAGGAGGGAAGACAGTGCCAGAAGGACGGACAGAGGATGATTGATGGGGCTGGACCATTGGGCACTGGGGACATGAGAGACAGGAGTGGGTGGGATGGATCTATGTGGCTAGAATATGCGGCAGGATGGGGTGGGGGCTGGAGTGTGACTTTATCCTGAGTGTAATAGAACCATCGATGTTGTGAAGGTGTGAGTATGCCTGTTCTTGTATTCATAGGAGAAAATTACCAGATTTGAGTTTTGTGAAGATGACTGTGATTTATCTATAGAAGAGATTTAGAAAGGACACAGGTGGACCACAAATGATGTCCTGGCAGTGCTCTCAGGAGACACAATTGCAATTTGGATTCAGGTAGTGATGGTGGGAAAGGAAATGAGCAGGTAGATCCTAAAAACACACAGAATGAAATTTAAAGGGCTTGGTGTTGGATCAGTCGTAAGGGAACTTCATCTCCCTAGTCATCTGGGCTGATGATTGGAGCTGCCAGTCTCAACTATAGGGGACAGTGTGGGCCTCAGAGAATGCTGTTGGGAGGTGGTGGTGGATTAATTATGATTGTCTCCATTTCTTGAATGTCTATGAGTTAGAAGTTTAGCTCTACACTGTTCAACCTGGACAATTATTTATATCCTCACTCTCTAGTAACCCAATGGAATTCTTCAATTTTGTTTCTCACAACCCTTGTTGTTGCTGTTCAGTCACTAAGTCATGCCCAACTCTTTGTGATCCCATGGACTGCAGTATGCCAGGCCTCTCTGTCCTTCACTATCTCCCGGAGTTTGCCCAAGTTCGTGTCCATTGAATAGGTGATGCCTTCCAACCATCTCAACTTCTGCTGCCCTCTTCTCCATTTGCCTGCCATCTTTCCCAGCATCAGGGTCTTTCCCAATGAGTCAGCTGTTTGCATCAGATGGCCAAAGTATTGGCCTAACAACCGTAACTTCTGCAAAATGTATGAAGCATCAAATAGGCCTAAACTCCAGCAGGAGGACTTCAGAGACAGTTGGACTGGCTGTTGGCGGCTTTATCTGTAATGAATATGGGGCCAATAATGTCCAACCTGCCATCAAAACCACTTCTCAAAAAGGTTAGTGGAATTGCAACATAAAATTTCACAGAAAATGAGGGCAAATTATCAAAGCTTTGTTTCATTTGATACCAACATCCAGGTCCAGTAAAATAACATTTCATAAATCACACTAGAATGATCATAGTATGTTTCAGATCACATGAACACCCCTCTGACATAATTAGCTTTACTATTTATTATCTCCTCAGTAGGCGGCAAAGCCAGGAGATGTTTTAACTAAAACAACAGTTATGCTGAGACCTACTTCTGAGGTACTTTTTAAAGACAGCCCCAAAGTGTCTGAATGGTGGGACAATTGCATTAGAATCTAAAATTTACCTAGGAGACATTTTGTTGTCACTATTTGTATCATCATAAGTCTGTGGAAACTCTGAAATAGCACAAAGCAAGCCTTTCAGTTTTTAGTTATTATATGTGGTATAGTCGCAAAGTCGTGTCCAATTCTTTGCGACCCCATGGACTTCAGCCACCAAGCTCCTCTGTCCATGGGATTCTTCAGGCAAGAATACTGGAGTGGGTTGCCATCTCCTTCTCAAAGGGATCCTGCTGACCCAGGGATTGAACTTGGGTGTCCTGCATTGCAGGCAGATTCCTTACTGACTGAGCCACCAGGGAAGCCAATCATTATATGAGTTCACTTTAACATTATTTTTTGGAAAGATTCCTAATATTTTTCATAGGATCTATAGCTATACATCTATCTATCTGGCAATTACAAATCTGCACAGATAGATGTAGTGTGTATATGTGTGTGTGTGTATGTATATGTGTATATATATATATATATATATATATATATATTACTCTAAACTGCTTAATAACTATATATGTTCATGATAATATGTTGGACTTAAAACCTTATGTAAAATTTAACTATCTTAAACAATAATAACTTTCAGTAACAGTAGCATTAAACACATTAAAAATACTGTAAACACAAAGGCAAAAGTGTAACTTAACAAACAGTATCTTTCTAAGTAGACAAAGTAAATACCGACTTGATAGATTATTTGTGGAAATTTATCCAATAAACTAAACAAGCCATCTGTTCACACATATCCCAAGTGATTACAAAAAAAGGAATTTGCTAATAATCTCAAATTAAAAATAAACCCCCCCACAATTTACCATTCTGTTACACTGTATTTTTCTCTCACTTTGGAGAAATTCAGTCTTCAATCATGCTAATTTGCTTTTAGAGTAAAGGCAAATGAAATGGAGAACTCAAAGGTTTAATGAGCCTCCACAAATGCCTAAAAAGTGTAAAGGCAAGTAACCATTAGAAGAGCAGTAATGTGTCAATAATGAAGTACTATTGGGCCACAGGGGTGTTTGAATCCCTTCACTGACAGCAAAGTGACGGAGGAACGTGACTTAGAAGGAGGACACATCCCATCTGGAGGGACCGGTGAAGGCTGGTGAGGTGTACATCTCTGAGGAAGCCACCCTGCCGTGGCTGCCTGGTCCTGTGGTTGGGCTGAAAAACAGTGCTCCCTTTGGGTGTTTAGTGCATCACCAGCCACACCAGCAGGTACTGATGTCTACCTCTGAGTGAACCGTAGCATCCCTAACTGCTAGGACTGGCATCTTACTTTGAAAGATATCTGCAAGCAGTATCAGAAAATCTTCAGCTGAAACTCCTTTAGCATTATCTACCAAACATGAAGGAAAGTAGGAATATTCTATCCGATGTCAGGAATATTCACATTCAAAAAGTGCATTCCAGCCCTCCTCTACATATTCCAAATTATACACAAAAACATGCTCATATTAGTCAATTTGAAAAGGCACAGAAAAATACAAAGAAGAAAATGAAAACCACCCAAACTCCCATCTCTGAAAATAACCATTGTTACCATTTTGATATATTTCCTTCCAATCTACTCTTAAGCATATAAACCTTTTAAATACAAAAAAGTTCACGCCATATACAGATTATCCTCCTTTTTTTCATCCAACTTAGTATCATTATGGTTTTCCATGTTGTTGAAAATAATTTACAATCATGAATTTTAAAGTCTACATAACCAATTATGTACAGTAATGTATTTAACAGATAATGTATTTATGGGTTTGTTTTCTACTTCCAATGTTCATGAATAAAAATACAATTTCTGCAACTCTTTTTTTACACTTCTGAATCCAGGGCTCTTAAAACAATTGTGTTAGGCATGAATGCTTCAGTTTTCAGGCATAATAAAACAATTAACAGATGTAATGAGAGTTTAACAAATTTTTTGAAAATTAACACACAATTTTCAATTCTTAAAAAATTTGAAAACTTACAAGGGTAATGAAAAGGCTATTTCACATGAATCTCTATATTTGAAGGTCACGTGTTTTCAAAGGCTTTTCCACTGTTCTCCATGTAGCTGACACTGGTGGCAGGAATACTCTCAACACTGAAGAAAATACCTGAACTTTTGCCATCTGTGTGTCTGCGGTGGTCTTGTCTTATAAGTGAGATATCCAAAAGGTTTTCATCATCTTATAAAGGAGAAGATCACCAGGAGTAGCTCAGGTGCCAAAGGGTCCGGGGGTCACACCTGCGGGGCCTCAGCGGGTGGCTATTATAGAGTTGCAAACAATAGTAATACTTTGAATAGTGTAGTTAACTGTTACAACACTGCCCTCCAAACCACAAGGCAAAGATGATCAGCTGAGAAATGCTCCTTTGTAAGCTAGGTTGTCTGCACAGTCAGGGTAAACTGGAAAAATATTGCTGAAATAGTCCAGATGTGCCCAATTTATTCCCGTGTCATTTTAATATATCCCCATCATTTGGGGGCATTTGTATCTTCGGGGGCATCATGAAATGGTCCGGGCTTGTCTTTTACTGCTTTACTGTCCCAGAATCTGTTTACTGTTCCAGAATCAGCTATTTCTCCAAGGAGCTGTGATTCCTCTTATTGGAGTAGAGAGTGGTTATTTGTTCCTAAAGGTCCCTTGCTTCTGCTTCCTGGTCCATTCCCCCTAAACCATAATAACAGCAGCATATGAGTTTTCAATTTCTCTTTGGAGATAGAATGCTCAGATCTAACTAATGATTAACTAGAAGAAAGTGTCCCCACCTCTGCCCTCAAGTACAGGTTACTTCAAAGGCTTCACCTTCCAGAGAGGACCATGCTTTATCCCTGTTGGTTGATGTGATAATTATGACATGCACTGTTTTCATCTGAAAAGGAAATATTATCAGAAAAGACTAAAACTTACCCACAAACAGACTGGTCTTCTCTTTTTACATTTGAAAGCACAGGTACAGATTGAAAAAAGGATTTAAACCACCAGGTGGATTCTGCCACTTCGGGTAATCCTATCAAATAAAATTCACATTTGCTATTCAGTCACTCAGTTGTATCTGACTCTTTGTGACCCCATGAACGGCAGCACACCAGGCTTCCCTGTCCTTCACCCATCTCCCAGAGTTCGCTCAAACTCCTGTCCATGTGTTGGTAATGCCATCCAATCACCTCATCCTCTGTAACCCCCTTCTCCTCCTGCCCTCAATCTTTTCCAACATCAGGGTCTTATCAAACACAATTGAGAGACGAAAAACAAAGGGAAATACGGAGGGTGATACTGATAAGAAATAAACTACATAGCTAGCTGGGCTTTGTCATCACCTACAAAGTTGACAGAATCAGGGCCAGTTAAAGAGGTGCCTGAAGAAACACTGGCCTCTGTAAGAAAGAAACAATAATAAACAAGCATATAAATAATAAGCCAACACAGATTTTTACATATAAACTCTCAAGCAGCATGGTCTGAAATCATTTAATCCTGGATTATGAACTGAAAATTTGGTTATATTACCAGCCAATTAGAAGTCTCCCAGAATAATGCATATTACATTTTTATTAATAAAGTGTGTTCCTTTCCATGGTGAACAACTCTCACACAGATATGAAGTAGAATTTAAAATATATAATAAATATTATCAAATTCAAAATCTTAAAAACACAAACTCAAGAATGAATATTATTGTACTATATTAAATATATTACTTGCATACAAGTCATATAATGTATTATATTTAAATATCCTACAGAAGTTATCAAATTTAGAAATAGAAGAATCATTTTAAAAGAAAAACATCTTATTTGTCATATCATACTTGTATTTTAAACCTAAGTGTTCTAAAAGATAAGAATAGAAAAATAACTTTTAAGAATGTAATAGCTCAAAGAACTTGGGCATAGTTTAACTTTGGGTGGGGGAGAATAAATTAGTAGATGTTTCCATCTCTTGTCTACAAACAGCCCTTGAAATAAGACTTTTCTACAGGCTGGTGTGACTTCAAAAAATGATAGCTTGGTTCTGAAATGATTGTTTGTTTCATTGTATGAAATTTCTGAATTTTCTTCGAGAAGCTATACTTTTCCATTTAGCTATAAATTTTCATAGATGGAGAGATAAATAAAAATAAAACTGGCCAGGTAGAAGCTGACCTATTAACCACAGGAGAAAATGGAAATGAGAGAATCTCTGAAACACACTTGTGCTACTTCTCTTTTCTCAGAAATGAATATTTTATTTATGCAAAATTATCAGGTTTTAGTGTATCCTATTAAAGGCAAGGAACATGAAAGCAAAACCCACGGGAATGAGTTGCCATTTCCTCCTCCAGGGGATCTTCCTAACCCAGGGATGAAACCCTCAAATCCTGCATTGACAAGAGTATTCTTTGCCATTAGCGCCTCCAGGGAAGCACCCACCCTCCCCCCAACCCTGCCAAAATTGTGAAATATAAGCTTATTTTTACTTATTTATGTGTTAATGGTTTCATGGCTATAACAAAACATAGTTAAAACAAAGTGATGAGGTTTGACAGTTTTTATTGATTCAGGGAGTCTCAGATAAGGTTTATTCCTATTTTCTTCGCTGTCACAAAGAATTGTCACTATTCTCCTTTTAGTTCTGATAGGACATGATACGTAGGTTAATTATACCCCACAAACATCACCTGAGATCATATTCTCTAGGGCCACCCTCTAGAGTTGTTATGACTCACTTCGATAATACTGATTTCTGGCCAAAAGACAACCAGCTGAAGGCACAGATGCCATTGTCCCCTGAGCAGGAGCCAGTGAGTTGGTGACAGGCAGCCTGCAAAATGGATGATGAGAGGCTAAAGTTAATCATATTGGGTTACTGTTCCTTTTTCCATGAGTATTTTTTGTAAAGCAACATAATTTACCATGTAATAAGTATCCCACAAAGAATTAAAGAGTTCACACAAAATCATAATCAAATTCATTGCCATAAACCAAAAATGCAATTCATTAGGTGAAAACACAAGAAAAAATATATATCCAAGTATAACCATGCCCACAGCTGGCTCCAAAAGTGTAAACACAGCCCTGACCATCACTCACCTGCCTGCTTTCTTCAGCCTGCTCTTCCAATGAACGTGGGTCTATATCTTCTTCAGAAAATGCAGACTTGGGAAGGGCTGATTGATGGTGATCCAGGACAGACCTGCCATGGGGCAGAGGGTGAGCTGTCTGGGAGCACAGCACCCCTCGGTTTGGAAGGCAGAAACCTGAGCTGAGAGTGGACGCAGGTGGGCACTGGGCCACGACAGGCGGAGCCAGAGGCTCCCTGCCTGCCTGTGTGCCCTTGACTGGGTCAGCCTGCCGGGGGGGCCAAGCAGGACTTGGCCCGGACGTGGTGTTGTCCTGGCCCTCTGGACTGCTGGTTTGACAGGGAGAGAGGTAATAGCCACTCTGGGGGCAGAGACACAAACTTGGGGTCAGTCACACACTCGGGGACAGCACCATGCTGGGCTCTGAGGGGGACACCTTGGACAGGCTGCAGGCCCCCAGGGGCACTGGATGTCATCACAGCCACCGGGATGCAGCGCAGAGTCACGGGGTCTTGGAGGACAGGAAAGAGGTCGGGGAAGTGTGGGAACCTTCTGTAGGAGGGCCGTTCACTGCACCCCCAATGAACAGCAGGTTAGAGATTCTAGCAAGAACAATCCAAGACACATGAAAATCATGGGGATGGAGGAAACAGGAACTTGATGGCATTCTAGCAACACTGCTGGTTGAAACAAAAGCTGCATTTCGGTTCTACTTCTAGCAATGGTCCTTACTTGAACTGTTTTGCCATTTCCTAGACTCAGTTTGCCAAGAGGTCCAGCTGTGGATCCCTCGCTATTGGGAGGAAGATGCCGTCAACTGATGATTCAGTTCATTTGGTGGCTGTTGGTTTCACCGGCCTAAATCAGTTTGGGCAACGTATACAGAATTGCTCATCATCTATGTTCAAATTTACTCAAAACATTTGTCTTAGTTTGCCTTCGTGGTTCTTCTTAAATACCCACTCTACCTGGTTAGGCTCCTTTCTGTTGCCAGTATTATTCTTTTCTGCCTTTTCTCCTTTTGTCTTGATTAATTTTCCTGGTGGTTTCTCTATTAAATCAGTTCTTCCAAAGAACTGCCTCGAGTGTTTTTAAGTTTTATACTTTGTCTCCTGTCTTCTTTTATTCTTCTTCCTTTTATTTACTTTAAGGTTATTCTTATCTATTTCAAAATTTTTTTACTGCTGTTATGACATTTCTTGAATATTTCAATTATTTAGTGATGCTTTTCTAGACATATACTTTCTCTGGTAGCTTAGAGGGTAAAGCGTCTGCCTGCAATGCAGGAGACCCTGGTTTGAACCCTGGGTCAGGAAGATCCCCTGGAGAAGGAAATGGCAACCCACTCTGGTACTCTTGCCTAGAAAATCCCACCAATGGAGAAGCCTGGTAGGCTACAGTCCACGAGCTCGCAAAGAGTTGGACACGACTAAATGACTTCACTTTCACCTTCTAGACATATAAATTTTCTCAATTATCTTTTAATTGATGATTCCTAAAAACACTATGTTGTCAAGAGAGTCTTTTCATTTTTGTTCATTCTTTCAAATAATTTTGGAAGTGGCTTTCTGTGTATTAATAATAGTAAATATTCTTCCATTGCACAGTCATGATTTTGTATCTATTTGATTGTGTTACTTAATTATGTTAAACAAATGATTTATGTACTTACTGATGTCTTACCATCTGCCTTCCCAGTTTGTAGTGCCATCACATCAGTTGAGTCTGTCCATTTTGGCCTCATGTGTTTTGCAGCCGTGTGGGCAAGTGTGCACAGAATCCTGATGTCATAGTTTCTTGGTGGATCTTGGATTTTACTTTCCTTTATCAGCACTAAGGGTTTAACTTCTGCCTTAGATTCTCATTGGTCTAATGCTAATTTTGTGGCACCTGCTTTTTTATATGCAATCAGAAATTATCTCCTTTCATCTTTTTATTTTCTGCTATCTGTTCTGTTTCCTTTAAATAACTTATCAGCTCCCTTTGGCTACATTATTTTTTCCTAGTTTTAAGCATTTTCTGTCACAGTTGTTGAATCGTTGGCTGAGTTGCTTAGCACTAGATTTCTTCATAAATTTTGGGATGTGGATTTGCAGTTTCCTTCTGAGTGGCAGGTAACTTCCATTGCTCTGTCTAGCTGTGCACCACCCCTGGCCACTACACCACACCTCTCTCCTGTCTGGTGCTATCAAGGTTTGACCCATGGTTTCAGTTTTTGAAAGATTCAAAAGTGAGTCTCTCAAAGACAGGGGGTTCAGTTCCGTTCAGTCACTCAGTCGTGTCTGATTCTTTGCAACCCCATAGACTGCAGCACGCAAGGCTTCCCTGTCCATCACCAACTCCTGAAGCTTTTTCAAACTCATGTCCATTGAGTTCGTGATGCCATCCAACCATCTCATCCTCTGTCGTCCCCTTCTCCTGCCTTCAATCTTTCCTAACATCAGGGTCTTTTCTAATGAGTCAGTTCTTCGCATGAAGTGGCCAAAGTATTGGAGTTTCAGCTTTGACATCAGTCCTTTCAATAAATATTCAGGACTGATTTCCTTTAGGATGGATTGGTTTCTCCTTGCAGTCTAAGGGATTCTCAAGAGTCTTCTCCAACACCACAATTCAAAAGCATCAATTCTTTAGTGCTCAGTTTTCTTTATAGTACAACTCTCACATCCATACATGACTACTGGAAAAACTATAGCTTTGACTAGACAGACCTTTGTTGGAAAAGTAATGTCTCTGCTTTTTAATATGCTGTCTAGATTGGTCATAGCTTTTCTTCCAAGGAGCAAGCATCTTTTAATTTCATGGCTGCAGTCACCATCTGCTGTGATGTTGGAGCCCAAGAAAATAACGTCTGTCACTGTTTCCATTGTTTCCCCATCTATTTGCCATGAAGTGATGGGACCGAATGCCATGATCTTCATTTTTGAAGGTTGAGTTTTAAGCCAGCTTTTTCACTCTCCTCTTTCACTTTCATAAAGAGGCTCTTCAGTTCCTCTTCCCATTCTGCCATAAGGGTGGTGTCATCTGCGTATCTGAGGTTATTGTTATTTCTCCTGGCAATCTTGATTCCAGCTTGTGCTTCATCCAGCCCAGCATTTCACATGATGTACTCTGCATATAAGCTAAATAAACAGGATGACAATATACAGCCTTGACGTACTCTTTTCCCAATTTGGAACCAGTCTGTTGTTTCATGTCCAGTTCTAACTGTTGCTTCCTGACCTACATACAGATTTCTCAGGAGGCAAGTAAGCTGGTCTGGTATTCCCATCTCTTTAAGAATTTTCCACAGTTTGTTGTGATCCACACAGTCAAAGGCTTTAGCATAGTCAATGAAGCAGAAGTAGATGTTTTTCTGGAATTTTCTTGCTTTTTCTATGATCCAAAAGATGTTGGCAATTTGATCTCTGGTTCCTCTGCCTTTTCTAAATCCAGCTTCAATATCTAGAAGTTCTCAGTTCACATACCATTGAAGTCTCTCTTGGAGAATTTTGAGCATTACTTTGCTAGCATATGAGATAGGTACCCTCTATATTTTTGCTTTAGCAACATCCAGTACAAAACCCAACACATACCATAAGTAGTTCCTGTTCTGAAAATCTGACAAAACCAATGTATTCTTCCTCCTGTGTGTGGTAAAGAGGGTTATATCCTCAGCTAATGATTAAAATGTTATAATAGGGCTCAGATTTCCACACCGTAACCATGACATAAGGCAGCTAATTTCTCCCCAATTGTTCCCTGACCCACATTATTTTCCAATATCTCATTATTAAAATTATTAGATTATTAGATCCATTATTAGATCCATCCACATTTCACTGAGTGTTTTGTCCTAAGATTAAGTTATGCAAACATTTCTCTTTGATCATAACACACACTTCAAACCTAATGGACATCTCATTAGAGGAAGAAAAAGGCATATTTTAGAAAGACTAAGTAGTCACAGTCCACCATAGTCTCTCTGAGGGGTGACCAATTTATTACATGTGAGACACTATTACTCTTTCTGGGTTTATTGATGATGGATGAAGTAGGAGACAGGTATCTGATCATTGTTTTTTAGAGCATAGAAATTCATGGCAAAAAGATGGTTGTGTTTATAGATAATTCATTACCACCTGTGCTGTTAGACCACTGACCAGGTGAGATCAGAGTCTGGGCGACTTCACTGCCTGTGCCTCATTCCAACTCCAGTCTGACATATCTATGTGTGCACACAACACGTCAGGGTTGTTAAACATGCGGTGACATTGGAATCAATGAACATACCCCATTAAACATAAACACTCTGCTGTTGTTATACACTCAGTCTTGTCTGATTTTTTGAGACCTGGTAGACTGTAGCCCGCCAGGCTCCTCTCTCCACAGGATTTCCCAGGCAAGAATACTGGAGTGGGTTGCCATTTCCTCTTCCAGGGGATCTTCCCGACCCAGGGATCGAACCTCCATCTCCTGCATTGGCAGGTGGATTCTTTACCACTGAGCCACCAGAGAAGCCCAAAAACATACACAAGCCCTCTATAATAACAAAAGCTTCAAATGAACACTGTTCAGTTCAACGTCAGTCACTCAGTCGTGTCCGACTCTTTGCAACCCCATGGACTGCAGCATGCCAGGCCTCCCTGTCCATCACCAACTCCCGGAGCTTACTCAAACTCATGCCCATTGAGTCGGTGATGCCATCCAACCATCTGTGGCAGG